CCTGAACCACAAGGCCAGCTGTCTAACCACTTAGAACAGGCCACAACATGAGTCCCGCTGGTGTACTAATCGGTCTAACTGATTACCACAAATCCACAAACCCCCTCAGGGTGGTAGAATTAAGACATTAATGGACGTCACGGTATTTTAAACTAGCTCAGCACACGAGCCCACACCCCCAGCGGCGCAGACGACCCACTTTCCCCCGTACATACCGGCGTTCATGGTGGGGGCTGGGTCCTGTTGTTCTCTCTCGTCTGCTGTGGGCGCGTCAGGATCTCTGGTTGTTAGAGCGCTGCACAGTTCTACGCAGGTCGTGTCGCTTAACTCCATGGCCTTATATAATGATCTGCGCAGGAGATATGGTTCAACATGTACGTATGTAAGCCGGGGCCTCCAGCGCTATTTATGGTTGGGGTGCGTTATTGATACCCCATGACTGAAATGCCAACATGCGCCCAGACTGTAGCCTCCAACCACAGGCTACTGGCGGGATGAGAACAAGATGTGGCAAGTTGGCTGGTCGGTGTGATACTCTCCAAGCAGAGGTTATTAGCCCTGTTTGGGACGCTGTAGATGTTATAATCGGTTTTCTATTTGGTCAGATTTTTTTCTAAATAGAAGACCCCACAAAACACCTAAAATGTCCAAAACAATACTAACATCTGCTTTATATATATAATAGAGAGTAAATTGGAGAGCCATACACACGGTGGTTTAGAAAACTGATGCATGGAAAAGCGCACTGATAAATACTTGATTTTAATTCATGGCTTCAACTTTTCTTTCTTTTCCGTGTGTATTGTGTGTTCTTAAAGCTAGACGCCTATTGCAAAACATCACCACTTGTACGGCGGCTCTGTGAAAGTGTGCATTACGGTTTCCAAAGCGACGTGCTGTTCTCCTATAAAGTACTCCAGTCACAAGCCTGGAGATCTAGGCTACACAACACGTCAGTCGGGCAACACTTCGTGTGGGCGGTCCCTCTGGTCTGGTCATGTTGGTACAGTCCACGTGCCTTGACAACCCTAATTGGGCTGTAACAAGAGCGCTTGTTTGAAGAAAAAAAGTAAACAAACTATTCAAGAGGAGAGAGAAAGTGGTTAGAAAAATGTAGAGGCTAGGACATCGCGTGTGTGAGGAGAAGGAAAAATGTAGACGACTACAAATAAACCACAGCAGGTTTTTATGTTCATTAGCGCTTTAGAAGAAATGAGCAATTGAGAGGTAATAATGTAAATGAAGTAGACGGCATTTGCAAGTGAAAAGGAAGATTCGTATTGGAAAGCATAGTAGATAACAAATAAAGCGTAAAATTCTTAAACTTTATTCATTTCTGTTATTTTGTACTTGAATCTGCATCTGTTTCATCCACATCATGTCGTGCCCCGTGAATATTTTGATACTGAACTCTCGTGAAGCTTCGGAGCTGAACTGAAAGGATCGCTGTGTCTAATGGTGGGCTCAGATTACTTCAACTTTCGGAAAACGTTTGTGTTGAGTTCACCAGTCAGATTATACTCAGTGTGACATAAGCCAGCTGACATGAAGAGCTAAATACTCGAGATAACAAACGGCAGGAGGAGGCTGGTGCGTAGGTGTTTGTGAAACAGCATACCGCTTGTTTCAGACGTGTCCGTCAGTAAAGGCAGAGTTGGGATTATAGAATGACGTCACTGTAAACTGGCGTTCTCTCATGAAAGGCCCTCATTGTAAGATTTTTTTAGCGAGAAGATCGAGAATCTATATCACAACTATTCCATGTGAGACTTCTAGGAAAACCATCTACACAAACAGGAAACCGTTTTGAAAACTCGTAGTTGTTATCCTGTGAATCATGTTTACAAACACCGCACCTGTTTGTTCATACCACATCACGTACAACCTAGCCGTGTAGCTGTCCCATCCGGAGGCTGCGCCATGACGTGTCTACTCCAAAGAAAACATCGCACCAAACAGTGACAATGTTGGCGGATTTGTCACGACGCTAACGTAATTAAAGTCGTGGCGGTGGCGACACTTCTGTACATCTCTAGACAACAAGAACTTCCGAAAACTGTCATTGGATCCTTCTGGTGTAGATTTCAAGTTCTTTCTATCGTTTTCAGTCTTTCAACATTTAACGTTATCTCTATTTTCATTTTCTTCCCTTCTTTCAAGTCCTTGTTTGTTTTCCTTTTAATATTCTATTCTTTTCCTCATTCCTAATATTTTATTCTTTATCTCATTTCCCTCCACAGCTTGTTCTATTTGGCTTTCAATAATAAAGTTTCGTTTTCCTTAAACGGTTTAAATAGGCTGTCAGATCAACACGTACCTTAAAAGAGGATGAAAACGTCTGTCAAGGTCACTTGAAAAAACATGAAAAGGGCGGTCCGATGTGCCACATAAAAGTCCACTGTGCAGATTACATTAGTAAAGGTCAAGTAAAGGTCTAAAGTAATATTGTCCCAGTTTCTGGACGACGATACACGGGTAACCAGGCGAGGTCAGTGGGGGCTGATGCACTTTGACCTCAAAAATCGACTTGGTGCCATTGTATTTGTAACGTTAGTCATCAGTTATAGATATTATGAACTAGATTAAGATCAGAAACTTCAATCGAGTTATTTCTTTTCTCAATTTAGTAATCTAGCTTATGTTTTATTGTCTGAATGACTCCTGTATAACCACCTACTGTAACAGTGGTTTCTCCCGATGACCTCTGTCCGCCCTCTGTCCGCCATGCCGTCTGACCGTGCCTTGGCCGTGTGTGCCGGCGTCTCCTTCTGTCTCGGCTTCTTTCTCGGCTGGAAGTCCAACTCCTGGTACAGGAAGTACCTCAAGTGGAAACGGGACCGTTTGCACTCCAAACTTGTAGACACACAGAAGAGAATAGACATCTCCTAGCGACCTGGTGTTCCATGTGGGAGGGGGGCAACCGCTGGTGGACTGGTGCTATGTCCGTGTCGATTTGCTGGGCGTCATGTGCCGCGGTCCTCTTAGATTAACTCTTATAAAGGTGCGTTATATCTTTGTTATGCCAGTATCAATACCATGTGTAAGGATTTATGCAAAGCTATTGTGCGTTTTTGATATGGTCCTCCGATTTGTACGTCGAGCATGCCCTTACAAATTATTAATATTATGGCAAAATTATGTTTCCCAGATGTCTTCAAAATGAAATGAAAGATAACTGACTAACTTTGCACATAAACTCCGTCCTCAACCAAGGAGTGTTAGACAGGAAATATTTGCTCAACAGACCGTAGCGAATTATAAAGTTGTAAAACTATAACGATAAAAGCAGAAAGTAGCTACAATGGTAGATGTCTGCATACATATCAGACTTGATATAGAAATATGAGTTTATAATACGTCTTCCGGCTTTCTTTCTTTATCAAAGTTTCCAGAGGTGGAACGATTGCTGGAAGAAGGTTCGTGTAGTAGCAGGCCATCCGTGGAAGCAGCGCCTCCTAGAGATGCAGCTTTTATAGCGAATGACCAACTTTCTACTATGCTTGTGAATAAATGTACTTAATATTATACTCGGACCTACTTGTGGGTAGTGTTAGTATTTTTCATGCAGAGGACGATACAATATACAAACGATCAGTGGTTTGAGGAGGATTTGTAGGAGTACTTACGAACATAGATTGGCTTTTAAAACAGACACGAGCTGCAAATAGAACCTTTATATTCATGCTGACTATTAGTACGCATTGGTGACTTGTAAGGGAAACCAAATGTCTCTCAGCTCTCATACAAGCAATAGAATACTTCTTCTAAACTATTTCTTTGAAATTAATTCTAATGTATCAAGATGAATCAAGACAGTCTGCATATATGCAGTGTTTTCAATAACGTTGACATTCACTGAATGGGTTAGTGTCGTTTGATGGCGACAAGATAGTGTCCTTTTGTAGGCACATGAGAACAAGTTTGAGAAGTTTTTTCTTTGCCTCTTTTCTCCACGATCAGTCTTGTCTTGTAACGTACACGAAATGTGAATTTACTGCTTGACTGTGCTTAAGTGAAAGCTCCCGGCGTTTTTAAGTATGATACATCGTGCAAATAACAACTCCCTCCATGCTGCAGATTTTCCTACCGTCTAATAGAGGCATGTTGTGCTAGACTGGAGAATTAGTTCTTAGTAAGTATTCTTCATGTGTCGGCTTCAATAAGCTCTTCCCTCCATTCTTATAGTTTTACATTAAAGACATGTATGTTGGTCTAGACAAATGAGCTATCTGTTGCGTAACATTTCACGTTAAGTCTCAATAAATGTTTCAGACTGTATTTCCAACTGTGTGATAAGGCTGTTATCCCGTTCACTAAGCAGGAAACGATATCGCCGTAATGCTAGCAAAGAGCACTTAGTGCTGCGGATAAAAGTGACGTTGTGATGCATTAAGATTCGCAACGTAGATACAGGGATAGTTGAAGTAAAAGCCTTTAATGTCAGAAGTTCGGGATTCAAAAGTTTCCAATAGTCCGAGGGCCTGTGTGACAGCCTCTTCTGAGCTCAAAATTCACGGAACGCCAGGAAAGTTTGAAAGGAATGCGCCACCTATGGTTTGGTTAGCTGCTAGCTCATTATTTAACGTGACGTACAAAAGTGTTGGTTACCTGTGGCATGTTTAGACCAACGTCAGAGGACAGTACAGACGTCTAGACAAAGTGGCTACACTCCACAAGCCCCATTTTACTACCCCACAGACTGTTACCACTAGCAGCGCGATTACATTCGTCATACATACATGCAGGCCGTCGTGCGATCTTGATGTAGTTGAATTTTTTTTTTTGAAAAATTACAGGGTGTGGCAAAACAATCCACTGACAGGGATTTTAGAAAGCGTTTTCCGTAACGAAACAAATAAATTTTGTACGACATATGTAAGACTATTCCAAAACAAAAATGCCATCAGTTTGCGATCGTTCTACGCCAGTGCCAGTGCCCATTTATAACTGTACTAGCCCTGACACTTTGTGCGTTATTATATTGCAGACTATGTAACATATATCATCTGTAACGGACAGTTGATAACCGGTGTACACGTAATGGGTGCATTACGCGGACGGACGATCATATACCCGTTAGGTACAGTTGATGCGATCTAATGACGTGCTGTAAATGACCATATACAGCAACACTTGGTAGACTTTGTACACGGTTGGAGCGGGGGGATGAAAGGAGGAAACACTTTCTCCGATTTAACATTACTTTTCCGAAAAACCGTCTGCATGTCTGTAGCTCCTTGATTAGGGCTTGGTCACGTTCATCCTACGAACGCAAACTTTAGGGCATTCTTGAGATAGTTGTGAGTGTATCGTACAACATTCATCTGTCTTGATGTCGAAAAGGTAGCATTGGATGCTTGTTAGGTCTAAAGTGTCACCGTCTGCTTGAAATCTTACGGCATTAGAATGGACCTGTGACGAATGTGGCCGCGCCATTAGTACGAGTCCGTTTTAACATGAGTAATGCACAGTTACGTTACGCCCAGGTGCAGTGATATGACGTCGGACTCAATAATGAGCCCGAGGAGTAATTTGTAACATACAGTTTCCACGGTTCTACACATTGCACAATAAATCAACTTATCATTTTGCTGGAACACTTTGCTGGAATGTTATCATGAATATGTCTGAAATCTTTGCTTTTGGCGTCATGACGTGGACATGATGGCGACAAAACGTGTACGTCTTCCTAAATTCCTAACCGTAACAAGTTTGCCTGTCTAGTTCATGTCTGGCCTAGTTAAAATCGTCCTAAATTTGCAGCTACCGCTAGCTGCGCCTCCATCCTTATTAAAGATATGCCAGACAGAGATAACTATCTTTGAGTTCGTCCTTCGCAGTCGGTCTATGTAGTTCTCCCGTACTAACAGCAGTGATGGCATGTTGCCTGTCGTAACATTGCAGTCAAAATTGCCTGTATTTCAGTCCGCCCAACCGCTGTTGCGGAAATATTCACATTCAAGCTGCAGATAGCATTGAATCCCAGTGGATAGATTCAATCACTAACAGGGTTTATGTTGGAAAAAATACAAACGGCACACAGTATTTTGTTGCGATTACTTTTCTACGTCATTGCGTGATGCACAGCTTCCCTCGAGCACGTTCTTTCACAGCTGGAAACCAAAGATAAACGACAAAGTGTACAATCTTCCTTACCACCAAATACAACTTTTGTAGCATATTAATGAATACCGGCAATAACATCACAAACATGGTATATTCACCGCGAATTTCTTAACAAAAACAACCCATGAACATCAGACCATGGGTAGTGATGTCCCGTACGTATTGATGCCGACAACTTTTCCAACATCGTGCAGATCGGTCGAACGACAGAAGGTTGGGATTCGGGAGCGGGATCACTAACCTTTGAGCCACGAGCGTTGTCCCGTGTTAGGGCATGATCACACATTCGCCATACGATCGCAAAAATGAAGGCATTTGTACAGCAGTTGTGCATGTGCCGTACAAAGTTTAGCTGTCTTGTTAAAACGCTGTCTTACATCCTTGTCAGTGGTTGTTTCTATCGCAGCCTGTTTGACACGTCTATGGCATCAGAATCATGGGACGGCTTACAAAGATGTGACCCGGCCATCAGTTGAAATGTCTGAGTTCCCGACAGAACAGGATGCCCTGTATGATGAAGGCGTACACGACCAGCGACATGATGAGCACGGTGGCGATCATGGCTGAGGAGTACGTGTCCATCCCCGCTCCGACACTGTCCGCCGCCGCCATGCTGCCGTTCCCGGGGCCGGTCAGGTTGGTACCCGGGGGCCAGCTCCCGTTCACCGCAGTCTCGGTAACGTTCAGAAAACTGTCCATGATGGCTTTAGGGTCCTAGCCTCACCCTGCCCGCCATGGCTGGTGTAGAACCTGTACAGGGACGGGCGAACGTTAGCAAGTCATGGGTGATCGAAGTACACAGAAGAGAACCTCTATATGGGAAATGCCATTCAAGATCAGAGGGGGTCTTCCAAAATGGTAATGACTATATGAATGTATGCACCATGAAAAATGACATCTCTGCTTAAAGGGTCTCTTTGAGGAACCGAAGCATGAATATTAGAAACATACACGAACTGTTTCAAACATGGACTACATGTATGCCATAGCGCATATATGCCTCTGCCGTTGATTTTTTTATTTGACATTTGGAACACCCCCCTACAGTCTTTCTTGGTCTGTCCCATAGTATGGCATGGGGGCAAATGTTGCTCTCATGTTGCGCAATTCCGACGAATAAAATTAATATTTCACGCTTTTCCCTCCGTAACAAAATCACAAAAAAAGAATGGAGAATTTCATTGAGGTGCCTTTCAATCTTCCTGTCCATTTCACTGTTGATTTCTCTGCATCTCAAACTGTCATCCATTGAGTAACTGCTTTTTGGTGTGTCATCCATTAGAACTTCCCTGTTCCAGCGTGTTTTAGTCATGACGTGCCGTCCCTTCCCTTCCCATCCTGCAGTAATGAGGATCTGTAGCAGGTGTTGCGAGCGAACATCGCGAAGCGTTTCCAGTCGACTCGTTTTCTGACAGCAGCCCGTTCCGGCCGAGCAGCCCGGGAGAGGGAAGCCAGGGAAGCGTAACGATCTTTTCCTACAAGGACACGCTTAGAGACCACTGTAATCATTCTTCCCGCGCACGAAATGTCACTTTGTATGTAGTAACAAATGAACATGTGGATCTAAAGTGTCGAGTGTGTAGGGTAAGAGATGAGACGAAGAGAACATGAAAAATCTAATAACTCACGTCATGTACGGTTTGAGATACGAAGTGCAAAGTTTGCAGCCAACGAGAAATTTGTAAAGGAACTAGCTATAGGAGGTATTTAACGTCCAATATTGACTTTGAAAGGTGAAGCTGTGAAACAACCTGTTGTGGATTTTTCCAGTGCTCACATGAATAAGGAACGGAAATGTCGGTTTGTTCTCCACCCGGTCATGTGGTGGGTGATGTCCGCGGTAGAATTGTTTCAGACTGTTTGATTGGTTTGGCGGAGGTCAGAGATCTACGTTGTCTAACGCACTTAGTGGTATAGAGTAGGTCTTTATATCATGTGACAAGCGTCGATTTGTACAATATATGAAAGGCTTTTCAGGACGCCAGTGGAAATGGCAATTCACGAACCATGCAAATCTAACAAAGATCAACGTTAGATGGCATGAAGGCATATTGAAAAGGGAAGCTTCTGATAACCAGGACGTCTTTTATTATGCCCTTTCCGTCTAACTGTACAATACATGTTTGCGTCGAAAATTCATCAAATGACATCTCTTCGAACAGGAAAATAATAACACAAGAAGAGGGCAATCTTGATTGCTCTTTGTAAAGTAATGTTCATTCCTGCTCGTATGAAGCCATCGCAAATAAATCTGGCTCATGTCCTTTTGTCCGTATCGTCCTATCATTCGGCACTCACCATTGTGCTGTCCCTTCTGAAGCTTACGTATGAAAGATACCACGTAGAAAGGCCAGTGACGCCCAGTGGCAAACATGTCATGAGACGGCACATGACCTCAAAAAAATACAGCTTCCGGCACCTGACCCAGAATCATCGGAGTCTCCAACTCAATCAGCGGCCGGACTGATGAGGTGATCCATGCTGAGTTATGGCTTACTGAAAAGCGCTGGCCAGCGGGGATTAACCACAACCTCTCCGTATTCATCTAGCTTCCACCGCGCCTTCCTGAGGGATTATGGATAGTAGACTTCGGTAAGAGTAGGCTCAATAATTGGCCAGGAAAGTGATACGCGATAAGGGTAACATGTTCTTAAACGTGCCGGTATACGTAAAAGAACTGTGTGGTACATGATGGCCAAATTACATATGGTAAATTATTCTGCTATTGAGCAATTTCTCATCCTGCGTTGTTGTTAGTCTGGCAGAGACTAGTATCCATCTTCTCTACAATTCACTACAGGTGAGACGAACATACCGAGCGTAGTGACGTCACAACACGTATCAATGTCAAATAAATCGTTGACAATGACATAAAGAGATCTAATCTATTCACATCCTGATTTGCTTGCTGTTATGATCAGTCTGTAATGTTGCCATGAGGACCTATGGGTGATTAGAAATGATAAAGAGAGCAGCCCTGGGGATCACTCCAATCAGCCCTATAAGAGACGAGATGATCTGATTCAGTTGCTAGGATACCGTTGATGTAAAAGCGAGGGGAAACCTCCTTATCGTCAGATACAACAGTGGATGTACATGTTATGGCTCATCAGAGTTGGCTGAAGAAGATATCCCACAGTTATTTCCCTCGGCGGGGAAAGAAGGTTTTCTGAACCGCGACGTCATCTTATCCGTTCTTTCTGTAAGTCACAGATAAGGACGATTGTAGACGCTTTGGATATAACCCCGTGAAGACCTTACCGTTTTTGGCGACGCCTTTGGGGCGGAGGCATTTGTGTAAGTACTACGATCGCTTTGAAAGAATTTCAAAAATTGCATGAATGCGTTCCCCAGGGAATTGGTTTTGAGGAAACCTTCGGCCATGTGGTTTTTGGAACTAGCGGGAACTCGACCAAAGTAAAGTAAGTATGTCATGATAAAATCTATATTGCTGGGGAAGAACGGCTGATTCCTCCTATACGTGTATTTAGTATATTGCCCCACACATCCTCCACCCATCCTGTAAATTTCACTACGTGCATGTCTTTATAAGATAGTTAATTGTAATGTAGATTGCTAGCTCCACCACATGAAATGAAATATATCATTCAGTCGTCGCCTTGGCAATGATTTTTATTGCCTCAGCCTTGTTAGAACTGAGGGGTTATCTGAGGACGAACTGCCTAGCTGCTGAGTAAGGTGGTGGTCTAAAGGAAAGATGGGACTCGTGGAGGAGGGAAAGAGGCTAGGAGAAGGGAACATGCGGAATTCGAAAGGTGGTGGGGTGGGTTAAAAGGGGATAGAGAGGAAGAAAAGGGTGGAGGGAGGGAAATGAGAGGAAGGTGTGAACCAACGGAGTAAGGAGCGAAACGAGTAGAAAACTTAGCCTCTACCAGGCTTGAGGAAGCGGCTGGAAAAAGTAGAAATCGGCCAAAATAGAGAG